CTAACTGCCCCCCTGCCAGCCTTCTTGCCCCCAACTGACCCCCCCTTGCCAGCCTGATCACCCCCAACTGCCCTCCCCTCCTGGCCTGATCACCCCTAACCGCCTCCTGCCTCGCCCCCGCCACCCTGGCTTTGTCTGGAAGGGTGTCCGGAAGGTCTCCCGGAAGGTCTCCTGGTTTAATTAGCATATTCCCTTTTGTTAGTATAGATACCCAATGTCTCTGACCCTCAGAAGTTCTGAGTTTAAATGAGGGGAGTTTCTGGACCATTGGTGGAGTTTTTCTTAACTTCTTGTGTTAGAAAAGCTGGGTTGGAAAGGGCTTTATGGCCAAAAGACTTGGCTGTAAATCCTGGTTCTGCCATTGACTGTGGGACCCTGGGCAATTTCCAACCCTGGTCATCAGCGACCTCATGTTTCCAATTTACTGCTTCTCAGCCCAAATGCACCAATCAGCAATGCTCAGTGATGGAATTCTGTTACCCATGCCACTTAAAATAAGCTCGATGTGAAGCATGCTCAGCAGAGGGTGCTGGTCGGACACTGCAGGAGGAAGGCCATTCCTGTCATTTTCAGAATTGCTGGGAATCAGTGGTATGGGTTTGCGGCCATCCCATAGGTCTGTCCCAGCCATAGAGCCCAGAACATGGTCCACCTGTGACCTTGTTACCTTGGCTTTGTGGTGACCTTCCTGTAGCCCTCTATTCAGAATCGAGAGCTCAGCATGGCCTGCCCACTCTGAAGGCCTCCTGCCTATACCAACATCCAAATTCACTCTGGAGGCCCCTGCAGGACCAAGACACAGTCCCCCATGGCGCCAAACACCCAGGACTGTTGCTCCCTCTCTCTACCCCACCGCATGTAGCCCACTCACTCTGAAGGCCTTGGCCTCCCCCCTGCCAGTGACCTGGAGACTGCCTGCTCCCCACCTGCCCAAGGAAGGGTGGTTTAGTGTCCACCCAGCAATTCCAGACCCGCTGTGGCCTGGAGCTTCTCTGCTATCCGGTGGCCTGCTTGGACCTTCTCCAACTAGGGTTGAGCCCCTTACACATTGTTCTTCCTTGGTGCTGTCCCTCACCGAGGAAATCCCATAGGGGTTCCCTATGTCTTACAGTTATTCTTTCATTGCAGTTAACTACCCTTTATATTCAACTGCCCTTATTTAACCAGTGTGTGGTTTCTGTTTTTTGATTGGACCCTGGCCATGCACCTAAAGAAGAGATGAAAGCATCAGTTTTTCAGATTTATGTTATTAATTAAATGAGAAAGCCCTTGCAAAACCCAAAGCACACTGCCCTGCTTGTCAGGGTCGCGCAGTTTTCTTTTTGCCTTAATTTTCACAGAGAACCAGGGAAACTACTGTCAGTGAATGCCAGGCCCTTGGCAGGATGGTGCTGATGTGCATGTGGTTAGCCCTAGAAGAGGAGACAGAGGGTCAGAGAGGCCAAAGAGATTGCTTGGGGTCCTGCATACAGTGTTGGACAGAACTGAACCCAGGTGGCCAGTCCTCCAAGTCCACACTCTACCCATCATACTAGGCTTCCTGCCAGAGCCCCAAACCCTCCTTCTTTTCACCAGAATGAGAACAATTTTCCTGCATAACAAAACCTCCTGAAGAGAACAGCTGAGCAGCAGGAGAAGCACTTGGAGTCCTTTCAGAGGGACTTAGCTAAGAGGTCTCCTCCTAAAGAAAGGTTTGAATTGCTTGAAGGTGCAGGTCAGTGGTTTCTCTTTTGCTATGAGTCAGCCTCTGCATGAGCCCCAAGGAGCTTGTGCTTGGAACTGAATCTGTGAGCCTTGACAGGTATATACTGGGCTGTTAAAGCTCCACTTTGAGAAAACCCCATTGGTTGGTTCAAATTAAATTTAGGGAATTTCCCATTATCAGTGAACCAGTGATATGGTTTATGGCTTGAACATATCTTCCAAAGGCTACAAGTCTTTGTTATGTTTTCCCTGATGCTTCCCCGGTACTTAGAACAGAGCTTGGTATCCAGTAGGTGCTCAGTAAGTGTTTGCCAAGTGAATGAAATTACACAGTTAAGGATTCCCCATGCTTTTTTCTTTTTACCTGTGGGACTTCACCAGGCTATTTGGAAATAGGATTTTATTTTAAAAGCAAGAGAGGAGGAGCAAGTATACCTTAACAGGAGGTCGCTGAGTGACTATTTTGTAAATCCAGGCACAATACCATGGCTGAGATGATATATATCAATGACAAAACTCACCCTAATCAAAGCCCCCTTTCCCAGTGTTTTACCCTTTCCAGGTGTCCCTCTCTTCCCCACATGAGGCTGTAACTGTGTTGATATGGCAGCAGGCAATAACGAGTGGGTAAGATCTCAGCAAGTGACATACTGGCTTTTAACTTGAGCCCTTTGGAAGAATTTGTCCAGGGCCTGGCAGAGAATTCATACATAGCAGCTACTCCATAAATGTCTATTGGCACTGTTGATATAGTAATGATGGCAAGATCTTAAAATAAAGGACTGACATAGGTAGTGGAGATTCAGGCAGGAGAGGAAGGCTAGAGAGCGCCATTGGTTTAGATTAGACTGTGTCCTTGCATATCTCAAATCACAACCAGGAAACCACCCACACTTTCTGTGCTTAATAGTTCAGTATAGTTGTGTCATAGTTCATATAAGAAATCTGAACCAAAATAGCAAACGAAAAGAACATCCTACACGTGTGTTGCAGATATAGAGATGAGACCATGTACACCTTTAACTCCTTCATACTCTAAAAACTTTGCTTCTTATTTCCCAGAGATTATCTTTCTTGTTTTCCCTTTTAATATGATGAGAAAGAAAAAAAAAGGATCTAGAAAAAGAGCAATCCATTTTTCTTTTTAGCAACATGAGGATGTGGACTAGTGTCTGCCCCTGCATACAGTTGAGTCTCATTTAAAATAGAGTTGTCCCAAAGTTGGGAATGGATGAGTCCAAACCAGGGGTGGGCAAACTTTTTGACTCAAAAAAAATTTTTTTTTTTTTTTTTTTTTTTTTTTTAGTTTTATTCATTTCAAACGGGCTGGACCCGGCCCGCAGGCCGTAGTTTGCCCACGGCTGGTCCAAACCTTTCAAATGTTGAGTTTTAATGGGTGAAGTTGGGCAAAGCTATCTCACCTGGTACAGGGCTCATTCCCTTCCTCCTTCTTTCAATAAGCACTTATAGAGCACCTGCTCTGTGCTAATCGTGTCGCCTCTGCTCAGTGCTAACATGTGACACTTGCTCAGTGCTAACATGTCACATCTGCTTCATGCTAACCCTGTGACAGGTCTTGAATACAATGCAGAATGGGAACATCCTGCAGATGGGCATTTTGCCCATGTTGTACCCTCATCACCTGGGATGCTCCCTAGTATACTGGAGCATTAAATAAACACTTGCTGAATCAATGCACACTCATGGAGTTAATAGTCCAAGAAATTATACTAAATTTCTTCAGTTAGCACTTTCATGCTAATAAAATCCGAGTTAGATGAACATCAGGGTAGCTTTAAGGAGGAAATGAGAGGTGAATCCCTGCTGGCAACAGCAGCACTCGGGCAGTATGGAAGGAGGTGTGTCACACTGCTAGCCTGTGTCCCACTGGCTGTGGGTCTTACCTGTGTTGATGGACATACGCCTCAGGACTCTAGAGCCACACGTGCACGGGAACATTGCAGCTCCACTTTGTCCAGCGCCGGGGAGACTTCTCCTTCCCTCTTTGAGCCCAGCCATCAGTTCCTACTTATTTGAACGGGGCTGCTGCAAAGCAGGAGTCCTGGGGCAAAGGAGGGACACTTGCTGAAAATTAGTAGCAATTCCATTCTTCTTAGCTGGGCATAATTTTCATATGCATTGAGATACTCGATGAGCTAAACATTTTAAGAGTCAAGAGTTTAGTCAAAGAATTTGCTGCTTCCTTGAACAATAGCCAATATTACAGAACATTCAAATAGTACCATGATGGGCCTGGTTGGCGTGACTCAGTGGTTGAGCATCACTTATGAACCAAGAGGTTATAGTTGGATTCAGGCACATGCCTGGGTTGTGGGCTCAATTTCCAGTGTGGGGCATGCAGGAGGCAGCTGATCAATGATTCTCCTTCATCATTGATGTTTCTATCTCTCTCTCTCCCTCTCCCTTCTTCTCTGAAATCAATAAAAATCTTTTTTTAAAAAAAAATAGTACCATTTTTTAAAGCCCTATTGTGGGCTCTCCCATAATGGGTTCCCTCCTCATAATGTGAGATAGGTTCACTGATTCATTCTTTTTTCTCTCCTGCCTCCCTCCCTCTTT